TGGCGTAGAATTTGCGCATTCTTAAGGCGCGTTTCCATGGGGACATCCAGTTTTTTGCAGGAACTGTGTTTTCACGTTTCCATTTAATAGCATTAGGTACCTACGTGTTTTACTGTTTTAACAAATAACGTTCACATGAACATCTCGATTGGGACTCTGCAATCGCAAAAATCCAATCCGCTCGAATTTGAAATTCAAATTTCAAAAACACTTGTACCTAATTATTGACATAAGTGTGTTCACACGACAGTTCTATTTGCGGAACCCTGCATTACTGAATTGCCGTGGGAACGAGCCCTGTCACTTGATCAGCCTTGGTGTGAAAACTCTGGAGTGAATGTATGTGGACAGCCAGCCAAGGGAATGTTATCTGTTCCAGTTACAAAGGTAGGTACTTATTTGAGAGAACTACCTATATCCGTCACAAACGCCATTAGTATCTTCTGATAGGTAACATGGAGCTCCCAATACAGCCAAACGAAGGCATCCTTAGTTCTCCTTTCGCCATGATGATGACAAATTTTGCATTGACTCCACGATGCGCAGCGGCGAGACTTCTACAATACTCCTAGTGTGTCTACATAATTGTTATTTACAAAGTTAACAATCGCACGTGTTACAAGCGGCGCTAGTTCGGCCACGGTTATTGATATTCACCCGAGACGCGCGCGACGCCTCGACGACGCCGCGCGATGGTCCGCGGCGCCGGAGCGGTAGGTATTATGCCTGATCAAAGTGCCTATGATCGTATATTCTGTGCTATTATGAGTTCGCACCTCTTGGGAACTGATTTCATCAACACAATGTACATCAATGTCGGTTTATTATTATGCCGAAAACAATGAGTTATCCTGCTTAGGTTCGCAAAGGTGATCATCTTCGTATTTATGAGTGTTTGATAGACTCAAAAAGACGATAAAAGACCGCTCCGTAATTTTGTTAATATTATTCTTATGGAATAGGTACTTTGCTTTAAAACTAACAGTAACAGAAGAAGTCAAAGTCATAGCCTTTATTCAGCTAGGCCCTTTCCAGAGCGCTTAATGCGCTTAGACACGTTCCAAATATTGTTTACCTACGCCTTACGGTACCACCACTACGGGAAAAGATATGGGCTGGCGCTTAGAAGAAGTGGCGGAAGAAACTCAGTTTAAAAGTTGCAGTAGGTGGATAAGTTAGAATGAATTAAGTTAGGCCCAGAACAGACGGTGAAACGCAACTGCAACGAAACTGCAACTTTCTGATGATTCTTATGAATGAAACTGATACTGAAAGTTTCAAACTGGTCGCGTGGATCTCTCAACGGACGCTATGGCAGAAACTCAGATGCAACTCAAAAGTTAACTAGCGGTTGCAGTTTCATTGCAGTTGCGTTTCACCGTCTGTTCTGGGCCTTAGAGTTAATTTGATTAGCTATGTGCTCATTGCCAAATGCCTGCAACTTCATACTCGGAATTCGTTAACCAACCACTGTAGACCTCTTATTTTAAGGGAGAGCTTCTAGAAATAGGATCAAGCAATACAATACTAGGATCATCAAAATATCTATCAAACAATGTAAAGAAAATAACCATACATCAGTTCAAAAGTTTTTAAGTCATTAAGTAATATACATNAGCATTAGGTACCTACGTGTTTTACTGTTTTAACAAATAACGTTCACATGAACATCTCGATTGGGACTCTGCAATCGCAAAAATCCAATCCGCTCGAATTTGAAATTCAAATTTCAAAAACACTTGTACCTAATTATTGACATAAGTGTGTTCACACGACAGTTCTATTTGCGGAACCCTGCATTACTGGATCCAGCAAACTGAATTGCCGTGGGAACGAGCCCTGTCACTTGATCAGCCTTGGTGTGAAAACTCTGGAGTGACTGTATGTGGACAGCCAGCCAAGGGAGTGTTATCTGTTCCAGTTACAAAGGTAGGTACTTATTTGAGAACTACCTATATCCGTCACAAACGCCATTAGTATCTTCTGATAGGTAACATGGAGCTCCCAATACAGCCAAACGAAGGCATCCTTAGTTCTCCTTTCGCCATGATGATGACAAATTTTGCATTGACTCCACGATGCGCAGCGGCGAGACTTCTACAATACTCCTAGTGTGTCTACATAATTGTTATTTACAAAGTTAACAATCGCACGTGTTACAAGCGGCGCTAGTTCGGCCACGGTTATTGATATTCACCCGAGACGCGCGCGACGCCTCGACGACGCCGCGCGATGGTCCGCGGCGCCGGAGCGGTAGGTATTATGCCTGATCAAAGTGCCTATGATCGTATATTCTGTGCTATTATGAGTTCGCACCTCTTGGGAACTGATTTCATCAACACAATGTACATCAATGTCGGTTTATTATAATGCCGAAAACAATGAGTTATAGGGCCTGCTGCTTAGGTTCGCTTAGTGGGGCACACAGAAAACCAGCGTCATGGCCATCCTCACAGGGGGCCACGGCATATGCTGAGTGGAGTCCCATTGCGATGGACATCGACAGGGTTGCACTGCTCAGTTTACTTTACTCTTCCATTGTATGTTTTATGTCACCTCTGTTTTATTTGCTTTTTTTTATTTACATCTTTTGTCTTTTGTGATGTCCATGGCAATAAATGTTTCTTTCTATCTTTCTTTCTTTCTTTCAAAGATGATCATTTTCGTGTTATGAGTATTTCGTCGACTCAAAAAGACGTTAGAATACCTATCACTCCGTAATTTTGTTAATATTATTCTTATGGAATACTTGGCTTTAAAACTAACAGTAACAGAAGAAGTCAAAGTCATAGCCTTTATTCAGCTAGGCCCTTTCCAGAGCGCTTAATGCGCTTATACACGTTCCAAATATTGCTTACGCCTTACGGTACCACCACTTCGGGAAAAGATATAGGCTGGTGCTTAGAAGAAGTGGCGGAAGAAACTCAGTTGAAGTTGCAGTAGCGGTGGATAAANTGGATAAGTTAGAATGAATTAAGTTAGGCCCAGAACAGACGGTGAAACGCAACTGCAACGAAACTGCAACTTTCTGATGATTCTTATGAATGAAACTGATACTGAAAGTTTCAAACTGGTCGCGTGGATCTCTCAACGGACGCTATGGCAGAAACTCAGATGCAACTCAAAAGTTAACTAGCGGTTGCAGTTTCATTGCAGTTGCGTTTCACCGTCTGTTCTGGGCCTTAGAGTTAATTTGATTAGCTATGTGCTCATTGCCAAATGCCTGCAACTTCATACTCGAAATTCGTTAACCAACCACTGTAGACCTCTTATTTTAAGGGAGAGCTTCTAGAAATAGGATCAAGCAATACAATACTAGGATCATCAAAATATCTATCAAACAATGTAAAGAAAATAACCATACATCAGTTCAAAAGTTTTTAAGTCATTAAGTAATATACATTCTTATTTATTATTATCTACTACACACATAGGTTACATAGACATCTAAAAACAATATTTTTGGACCGCAATAAGTAGTCCTAAATAAAACACCCTGACGCCATTTCTTTCTAGTCCAAGAACAGATTTACATAACGATAATTAATACATACTGTTTCGTATCTATTACCACTGCCAATAGAATACTATACAGGGTGTTAGATAAATGGGTATATGAGCCGACACTAGCCCATGTTAACATGGGCATATAAATGGTATGGTGAAGTCAGAAATTTGATATTATTATTTTAATTTTTTTAATTTTCATACAAAATATTTTTTATAAAATCCGATTTGTATGAAAATTAAAATAATTAAAATTAAGATATCAATTTTCTGACTTCACCATACCATTTATATGACCATGTTAACATGAGCTAGTGTCGGCTCATATACCCATTTACCTAACATCCTGTAGATCGTGTCATCCACGAAGACGCGCCCCACCAAATTTTGGTTGTGGGAAGCGCGGGCGTCATTATTGTAGTGTGCGTGTGCACTCATGGATAAATTAGCGTGAACCGATAACTCTCAAACATTAGCGGAAGAATGGTGGGGCGCATCTTCGTGGATAAGGCGACCTATAAGCCAACTTACCTCTAAGATTTTATACATACAACCTATTGATCACAATCTCTCTTCATTTACGACAACCGTCCAGTTCAAACCCATATATTAATTTTATGAATTTTGTTTCACAAAAACACAAAACTAATAGGTCGTTTATTTACTTACAGCATTCCATTATGTACTATAGTACTAGTAATTTCGATTATTTACTTGTTTTCAGTTGTATACAATTTTGCAATGTTTGCTCTTACTAAAATTTTGCTTGCAAAATATCTTTAGGCGTCGAGCAAATTAAATCTTAATCCAACTCCAATAAATATTTATGTTTATCCAAATATTAATCATAATTATTATATTCCCCAATGAGTAGGAAGTTAAGAACTCACTACATAGGTAGCTTATAGATAAAGATTTGACACAAAAGTTTCAGAAAATCTGCGCTCGAGTTAAAATATTTCTACTTTTGGGAATCGTTTCGTAATTAGTACGAGTCGTTTACGTGTTCGATTCTAGTGTAAGTTAATAGAATAAAGAAGATTAGTTGCTATACCCAATTTAGTAGATATAATAAAATATACGAATTATTATGCCTTGAAAATTACCCTAATTTGAAATTAGGTTGCTGAACAAAGTATATTAATCAGTTGTTAAGATATTTTCGTGCACTCTATATTTATGTAAGGTTTACCTAATTAAACGGTGCGCATTTTTTATTTTTCGTACAGCGTGCCTTTGCACAGATAGACACACATACTTAAAGTAACCGCACGAAAAGCCTGTTATTAAAAGTATAAATAATATCAAACTGAATGACAAGAATCGAAATTTCCAGCTTGAGTGTGCTATCTTCTACTCAAGAATGAATTTAATATAAAAAATCATATTTGCAACTGATTATGAATTTACATTTCATTTTATCCAAAATGTATGAATTCCAAAAAAACTGGAAATAAAACATAAAACAAAAACCAAAACATAAAACAAAAACATTGGAAAAAATAATTTATATTTCGCTTAAAATACACTAAATAATTAAAGCTCCTAATAAAGGAAAGGCGTCGTTGGGATCCTTTAATCTGAACCTAAATCTGTTTAGGAGACCGCTGGCCGCCACCGCTCCATTGCTTCGGGGCGTGATGTATGAGTTTGTGTGTATATTTTGTATCCTGCTTGCGACTTCCAGGGACCTGCAGTTTTTGATTTTGATCCTGATGCATTGTGATGGGTCGAAGCGTGTGGGTTCGAATACTAGGTCTCTATGGAGACAGTTCCTGAGGCGGGGTAGAGTGGGGATGAACCGCACTTTAGGTCGGGGGATGACGGGCCGCACCGGAATGTATGGCATGTCTTCCACAGATGTCTTTTCTATTTCGTCGTCTTCGTCTGTGTCTGGTTCTGAAAGAAAAATACAACAATCAACATCTGCAGTATTTTGTTATGATGTTTGGTTGGCAGTAACTTGAGTCGACAATATAAAACGAGAAGCAAAATAGAAATTTTTAATAAATAATAACTTGATGAAGGTTAAATAATACATTGTAAGAAAAGCCGACTCATTATCAATGTATTATTTTCGATTATTATTTACTTTCAAAAACAAAAACTACAAATGAAGTCAAAATGGATGTAAAGGTCCACACAAACTCTGTACAGAACAGCATTTAGACAGCTCGTAAAAGGCCTGGATAAATGAAAATCCTTGGGGGAGCCATTTGTCCAGCAGTGAACGTCATTTGGCTGAAACGAACGAACTGGATGACTTAATTGAATGGTGTTTAACTTACTTTGTAAAGGGAACAGAGTCCGCCGCGGTAAGATGGAGTCGCCGAGCATTTCATAAAGCGCGTAGTCGGTGGACACGTAGTCTTCTAGGTACGTGGTGGGCTCAGATCTGAGCAGGCACGTCGATGCGTCCTGGAATAAGATATTATTGTTTTTATTGGCATTAGAGGGCAGATCACGCGCGTATACAGGGTGTTAGGTAAATGGGTATATGAGCCGACACTAGCCCATGTTAACATGGGCATATAAATGGTATGGTGAAGTCAGAAATTTGATATCATAATTTTGATTTTTTAAATTTTCATACAAAATAAATTTTATAAAATCCGATTTGTATGAAAATAAAAATAATTAAAATGAAGATATCAATTTACCTAACACCCTGTATAGGGGGGTCCAGGATATTGGGCTACCTCATGATACTAATAGTCCCCCGCCCCCTATCCATCTATGAAAAATAACCCTAGATGATACGCCAATGGGGCATGATGCTAGTATACTGTAAACATCTATAAGTTTATCTACTCATCAATAAAACAGATGACCTCATAAGGTTGCACGAAAGAGCTGGATGCAGGCCGCCGCCAACCGGCCAACCTTTATATCTTTGGGGGTTGGGGATGGTCTATGTCCAGTAGTGGAGGACATCCTTAGGCTGAAACAATGATGATGATGAAGCACTTACGAGTATAGTCTCCCTAAGGTCAGGCAGCAGATGATTCCTCCTAGGCGTATGCATCCACTCATCCAAGTGCTTCAGATGGTTATTCCACTCATCCAAGTGCTGCAGATGGTCATCCAGGCACTAGAGAGACTAGAGCTATAACGCACTTCCCCTGGCAATAAGTAGCTAACTAATAGTACAAATCACTTACGAGTATAGTCTCCCTAAGGTCAGGCAGCAGATGATTCCTCCTGGGTGTATGCATCCACTCATCTAAGTGTTGCAGATGGTCGTCCAGGCACTCTATAAGCGCCCTTCTTCCTAGAGCAATGACGCACTTTATCATGGGTGCGGTCAGTCGCTCTTTAGTGCCTTGCGCTAAGTAGTCAAAGAGTATGCTTTTACCTGAAAAAAAATACGTTAGTTTATTTGAAATTGATATTTTTGAGAAAAAAGACTTCGGCTGGATTTCAACAAAGAATTTTGGTCTACAATAAGCATGGACTGTACTTCAAGTTAANACTTTTTTGGGTATACATGTAAAACAAGATTTAGAGAAGGGAATAACTGAATTAAATCAAACAAAATATCTTAAAAATGTTTTAGAAAAGTTTAAAATGCAAAATTGTAAGGAAATGTGTACTCCAATGGATGTAAATTTTAATGCTAAAATATTAGATGGAAATAATGAATCTTATGATGAAAATATTGAGAAAGAGTGTAGGAAAATAATAGG